CTAATAGCTTAAGGACAAAAAAAGATTTCTAGTTCACAGTCTGATTTGGCACCATCTATAAAGGAAGGTGTAGGATTTTCCCCCTAAAACCATCTTGCCTGCCATTACATTGAGTTTTGATGCTCTTTAATCATTCTACCCAAAATTTTAATTTTGGATCAGTTCACTGAGTTGAACTTTTACAAAATTTCTGCTGAATAATAGATGTTTCTGAAATGAGATTAGAGAAAACTCGTACAGGTTCATACAATCCTCTCTTTCTTTCAGAACACTTCCGTGCGACATGCTGGTGCCTGTATGCTTTGAAATCTGGCACTGGACTACGGACAAGAGATGAAAGTGGGGAGATGGTGACTGAGAGGGTCCCCGCATGAGCCTGCCACTCCTCTGGGGTGATGTTGCTTACACTTGACTCCCTGCAAAGCTCTGCTCACACATATTCAATCAGAAACTTGATAAAGTTGGTAGCTAAACTCTCTGAAGATTTCTAACACACTTGGCATCTTTCAAGTCTGAAAGAGGCAAGCAGAACTTTCTCAGAAACTGTAAAAAAAATTTGGTTTGGATGATACAGATTTCGTGCTTCTGATGAAAGAACAAAAGTCCTGCAATGAATGAGCAGCTCAAGGAGAAGCTGAACCAAAGCAGAACTTCTTTTAATGTCCAAAATCTATCAGTGCACCAAGCATGCAATTGACTGAAGTCCAGAAACAGTTGTCTGTCTCTTCCTTCCAAAATTGTCATGTACTGTATTTATTTCATAAGAAATACACTCTATTATTTGGTTTCATCTTACTATGAGATGCATACATGAGTACCTGAAGCCATCCTGATGAGTTACACAAAACAGCATTTATTATGGCATCTTTTTTTCCTCACAGAAATTGAGCTTTTGAAAGAAAACCATCTGTCCTGCTCTCACTATTTTACCCTGCTAACTGTGTGAAGAATGCTGGTTTTACCTGGACCAGACACAAACAGGCAATTGCCTCTGCAGCCAACAGCAAACATGACTGGTATCTTCATCAGCCTATGAAAGAGCTGGTCCCTTTTTAACAGCATCTATGTATAGTAGTTTGCATGTCCAACTTTCAGGTGGGTTTTGAAGCAGCCTATCCCATGCTAGGACTGATTTTTTTTTTCTATTGAATCAAGGACAAAGCTCTACTCTACTTTGACAGAGGCAGAAGCACCCTGCGAATCTCTAATTATCCATGGCTTTTTCTAAGTCATTTATGAAACTATTAATTTTGCAGTTGTTTCCCACAAAGCAGGGATAATTCCATGTCTTTTTAGTTTACAAGGCACACTGGAAGATGCCGCAGAATGTTTAGTAGGCAATTTGTGCTGTCATAACAGATCTTTGGCTTGGTTTTTGAATCAGAAAAGTCTGCCTTGGTATGGAATAGTATGCAAAAAGAAACTGTCTTGAATCTATTCAAATACGTAGAGAGTTTATTAAAAACTCCATAATTCTGAAGTAAGGGATGCAATTTTGTTGTGATCTGCACAGTGCAAAAACAGGAAATATAATATGGGACAGAGCTATATGCTCTTTTTTTTTTAATAGCAGGAAATTGGACTGTATTTTAATATTTACCCACAGTTTAGAGAAGAAGATTGCATATTCTGGTTTTTTAAAATATGACAATACAATTTAGTTTCATCAGGACTACCAACAGATCTAGAAAGAAATATCACATCATTGCATTCTATATTTAATCATTTATTTTGATTCACAAAAAGAACGTCTCTCAGGATGCTCTTGATAATTAAAAAAATTACAGCAATTACAGCTCAATAAATACTTCAGCTTCATCTTCTTTAGTCAACACATTACTGATAAAAGGAAAAAATAAACAGGGAAGTGTTCCTCCAGTCTTTCTACATTTGGAATTAGGACTGTAGCAAACAACATGGCCACTCCGGCAGATTCACAGGGTCAAAAGCTCAGAAGGATGGATAAATAACTAGAGCACTTTGCATCCATTCTTTACCACAAATTTCTCACATATCCTTGGGAAAAGGCTGAGATGCTACCTCACAGAGTCCTAGCCATGTAAATAAAGATTTAGTATATTGCCTGAGTCACTCTGCCTGCCTTTATGCTGCCCTATGGCAGAGCAGATACTGCTTCCCCAGATCCAAAGGCATTACGGAGATCCAACGGCACAGAGACACTTCAGTATCTTTGTAGCTTTCACACCAGTTTCAGCACAACTGACACTGAGCCAGTGTGCTAAAGCTGAGTTGGATACAGAAGTATTCTTTATGGGCTACTAAATCACATATACCACATCCTTCTATCGACATCTGAAAGGAAGTAGGGATTAATTTCCTCCACTTGCCCAAAAAGGGGTGGGATAAATCCCTCTTCTGAGGTGCTGCTTTCTTTGGTGCAAGCTAAGAAGTTTTCCCAGGCTGTCGAGCACTGGGAGCAGCAGCACGGATGGCACAGTGCCCTGCACAGAAGCAGTGCTGCCTGGAAGCAGAGGCAGGCAGCTGCAAGTAACAAGCTAAGGAGTTATATTCATGAATGTTAGCTAAAACTGTGTCTGGAGTCAAGCTGTGGCACAGATATTTTGTGTACTGATGATTGAGAGGTCATTATATGAAAATAATACCTCTAATATCATGTTATGTCTTAACGAGTTCTGATGGTGAGTCCTTTTGTGCCCATACACAAGGGATGTGACGTTCAACTGCATCTGCTGCCTCTCCACATTCCCTGATAGTGCAGAGACCTTCAAGGACTTTGGGATATAAAAATTGTTAATAGACAAAGACTGACAACTTAGACTGTTATCAGCAGCTTGATAAGCGTACAATTCTATCTTCTGCTCCATGGGGAATTTACTGGCAAATTCCTCACTTCTCCAGCAGCGTCTAGGGAAGGTGCAAGGAGGAAGCTCAAGAGCTGCAGCTGAAGCAGCCTGGAGGTGCACAGATGCTGAAGGAATTCTCCTCTTCTCCTGGGCAGGAACCACCTGCCCCAGAGGATGGGTGTGGTGGATAGACCTTGGCTGGGTGTCAGGTGGCCACTAATCTGCTCTATCATTCCCCTTCCCAGCCAGACAGGGGAGAGAGAATAAGATGGAAAACGACTTGTAGGTTGAGATAAGGCAATTCACTAAAGCAAAAGTGAAAGTTTGTGTGTGCACAAGCAATGAGGAAAAAAAAGCTTTACTGTCTACTTCCTATCAGCAAGTGGTCTTCAGCCACTTCCCAGGAAGCAGGGCTTCAGCACACATAGCAGTTGCTCTGGAAGGCGAACACTAGGTGACTGCTACGTCAAGGAGGAATTCCTTCCTCCTCCTTTCCTTAGCTTTTATATCTGAGCTGATGTCATATGGTGTGAAATATGGGTCAGCTGGCATAGCTGTGTTCCCTCCCAAGATCTTGCCCACCCCCAGCCTACTGATGGGTGGAATGTTGGAGAGAGTGCTGGTGCTGTGCCAGCACTGCTCAGCAGTAGCCAAAACACTGATATGTTATCACCACGTTTCTAGCTACCAGTGCAAAGCACAGCACTGTGGGGACTGCTACGGGGAGATGAACGCCATCTCAGCCAGACCCAATACAAAAATGGCTTTTGGTCTCTCTGGACAGAAAGAAAAGGTGTAGAAACAGTCACAGATCTGACTGAGTTGATATTTGAGCCTCAAAGTGAGTGCCCAGCAGAGGGCTTAAGCAGGCCACTAAAGGAAAGGACTCTTAAAAAACACACAGGGTGGATATAGCAAGGAGAAAGCTCTAAACGTGCACCATGAGTATGGTGGTCAATATACAATAAAATATTTAAATAATTTCTGTAAATGAATGCACGTTGAGATGACTCAGTGGAATTGCAAATAAACTGATAAAGCAAATCAGTTTTTTAACCTCAATCTTTTTAAACTGTGAACATATTGAAGGGTACAGGGTAGACAAAATGCATTAAGTCCAGAAATTCTTCCTGAAATAAATGTCTGTAGAAAATACAGTTTGAAAATATAGCAAGACCAATAAATTTGAGGATCAGGCGTCCTCTGCCAGGGCCCAGCTGCTCACTCTGAAAGCATCACAGGCATGAAGAAGACTGGAAATTGACAGTGATAGAAAGTGAAACTATAACAATTTTGTTTTACTTCAGTAACTTAGTGTTACTAGGAACTTTAGTTTTCCATCACTAAAGTGCTTAAAAGAATAAATAAACATCAAGAAATTGTAGCCAGCAAAATAGTCTGTACTTTGCCCTTTCCTCTCTTGCTCTCACTTAAAGACTTGGGCTTTTGATGAGGCAGTACATTTTTATGACATTTCCTAGTATCCAGGGAAAGCTTAATGCTACCTGGGCCTATAGAAATATTTCCTTTCTGTTTTGAAGCACCAGTCATTTGACTGGATGGAAGGAGCTTAACACATACCCGTGATGAGGCAGGAATTTTGCCACTGCGGCCACTGCCTGACTCTGCTTCTTCCAAAATATCTACGATTGTTGATTTTGATGAAGATTTTTTTCACGTGGGCGAGTTGGATGTGATGTTAAGCTGCTGAAAAAACCTCATGGAGAGCTGGGGTGTTGGAGTTCGGGCTGTAAGAGGGAGGAAAGAGAAAGGAGGAGCTTGGTAGTGACAACAAGTTGGCACAAAGTTGCGAGCAGGCCCACAGAGGCAGGAAGGTTTCTTTCTATGTCTTCTCTCGTCTCTCACCTATGCTTGGAAATGAAGATAAAACAAATTTAAGCACATGAAGCTTGTGCTCAGTGGACTAACTCACTTGTGCCACGTTCTATCCTGGTATAAAGGGCATAGTTTGTTCATATGGTGGTGAAGACAGTACTATTTGCAACTGCATTTCTTGGTAATGTTTTAAAAATTATCTGCAAAACGCAGGCTCTCAGCGTATCGGCAGCATTTTCTAACAGCGTTGTGTTCAGCCGGGCGCTCACAGAGGCGGCCCAGCGCCGCCCGGCCCCTCGCCCCGCCCCGGCGCGGCTGCTCCGGGGCCCGGCCGGGCCGCGCTGCCGCCGCCATCGCCATGGCCGCGCCGGGCGCCGCGCGGCGCCTCTACCGCCGCATCCTGCAGCTGCACCGGGCGCTGCCGCCCGCCCTGCGGGACCTGGGCGACCGCTACGTCAAGGAGGAGTTCCGTAGGCACAGGGCGGCCGGGCCCGCCGAGGCCCAGCGCTTCCTGCGGGAATGGGAGGCAAGTGCCCGCCGCCCCGCGGGGGAAGGACGGGGCACCCCCGGGCCGGGAGCGGCGGGGCCCGGCGGGGCGCAGGGAAGGCCCCACAAGGTCAGGGGCACCGGGCTGTGCAGAGGTTGGAATCGATGATCGCAAAGGTCTTTTCCAACCTGGTTGATTCTGTCTCCTCGGGCACGCTCCCTTGAAGGGCAAACTCCTTACAGAGCTACAGAATTCCTTGAATTCCACGTTTCTGGGCAGGTTATCTTTTACAGTTTGTATTTCCTTGCCTCGGATGCGTGTGATCACAGCTATGCACACACAAGTATCTGTAACAGAATGACAACAATTATATAATGAACTGTATATTAAAATACATACCTTTATTGTTTATAATAATATATTATATAGATGCATATATATTTATAACTACATACATAGCTAATTGTATAGTTATTATTAGCTAAATACATAGGTGTAAATAGCTTCCCCATGATCTTGTATTTTATTTCTGAGTGACATTTTTTCAGTGTTTCCTAACAAAACAAGTCTTATGTGAGCATTGCTTCTCTGCTGAATGCCCCTTCCCCTGAACTTAGTGCCTGGTTTCACCAAGGATGGAAAAGCAGATCACTCTGAAGTGATGAGGTTGTAACAAGTTTCACAAGCAGCAGAGGAGGGAGACCCATAAGGTGCTTTCCCCACATGCCTGAAGTCCAGCAGATGCTAGAGTATTAATAGACACCAAAAAACCCACACGGCAGACAAATGTATAGACACTTCACAGAGGAGAAACTTAGATAAAAACAAGAACTCAACTGCAAGAGATGGATCTGTAGACAAGCTTCCCATTAATTTTCATGCTCATTGAACTACTGGTTTGGGAGCATTTTTGAATCTCAAAACTGTTTTCCTTTCTGTGAAAAAAAAAATTATATTCTGCTTTGCCATAGAAGATGGTTAGCATAGGTAGCATCCATTGCCTCTCAGTTTACCAAGTGAAGGATAGTGAGGGGAGAACTGGCCCATCCCTTCTACCTGCTGTAGCTGAAATCTTGTGGAGTAAAGCAACTTGGGCCAGGGCATCAGGAACCAGCAGGGAGAATGCTGCCTGGTATTCTCTTCATAGGAGAGGAATAAGTGTATTTTAATTGCCTCTTGCCAACTGATAGATCCTCAAATCAGAGAAATTTGTATCTATCTCTCAAATGCCTGATGCTATTGTAGTTCTCAATTGCCGTTTACTTGATATTGCTGAAATGTTTCCGCATCGTTGCTTCCAGTTTTAACATGAGCTAAGAAGACAAGTTACAGGTTACTATTTTCAGTGCTAAAATCTTCCTTAAAATAATTTTAGAAAAGGAAGTAAGTGTTTACATTTAAATACCTTTAACCGTTTCTGTGAAGTAAACAGTGAAAATATTTCTCAGTTTTAAAATGTTTCAAAAGTAGATTATAGGGAAAACTGTGACAAAAATTAGACTACAAGGAACAGAAGTTGAATTTTGAAACCTGACATTTAGTGCTATTAGGTATGATATGTTCAAGGAAAGGAAACTAATTTAATAACTGTTTTGAGTGTATGAGTATAAAGAACTTTGCAAATATGTCTGTCTTTTAACAAGATGCTGGGAGATATTAGCACATAGTTAACATGTCTCTTCTCATCTTTAATTTTTGTTTTGTTCTGGGATTTTTTTCTCCCCCAAATGATAATCTGTTTCAAGGGTGGAATTTAAATCAGACTTTGACATTTTTGGTCTGTGAGACTTTCTTTGCATCTTATGCTATGCTGTGGTTCCCAGCCCCTTGAAGACTTGAAATGGATAATTGAGGAAGGTGGACTGTAGACAACTTGGATTAGGTAACTGTAGACTCTAATTAGGCTCTAATTCATATTGGAGTCCTCTGTCCTGGTTTTGGCTGGGATAGAGTTAATCTTCTCAGTAGTTTGTATATGCTGTGTTTTGGATTTAATATGAGAATAATGTTGATCATGCACTGTTTTAGTTGTTCCTCAGTAGTGCTTACTCTAAATCAAGGACTTTCCAGATTCCCGTGCTCTGCCAGTGAGGAGGTCCACAGGAAGCTGGGAGGGAGAATAGCCAGGACAGCTGACCTGAACTGTCCAGAGGGATATTCCATACCATGGAACATCATGTTCAGTATATAAACTGGGGGGAGTTGGCCGGGTGGGGCCATTTGCTGCTTGGGGATGGTTTGGGCATCAGTCAGCGGGTGGTGAACACTTGTATTGTGCATCACTTGCTTCTGTTGGGTTTTATTCTTTGCCCCCTTCCTGGGCAGCAGGACACACTTTTGACCAGAAATAGGCTAGAAGCTCTAGGACAGTTCTTGCAGAGCCAGGGTACCTGCAAAGCATCCAGTTCTTGAAGGGCATAAGAGTTGCAGTTAGTGGTGAATGAATCAGTGATATGCTAGTTCTTCACGTATATGAACCATAACTGTACTCCTTGCCTTCTTATCTATGTTTATTAAACAAAACAAAAAACAAACCAAACAAAAAAATCCACCTAAACAAATCACTACAACATTAATACAAAATGATTTTTTTGAATTTCCTGTTAAGATTATTTAAGAAAGAAATGAAGTGAAGTTACAGCTCTGTTAACAGTATTTTTACATGTTGCATGTCAAGCGCTTTTCTTCCTAATTTACTGGTTCATTAGGCTGAGCATATACCTTGCTGTATGCACTTTAGTGTTGTCAATATTCAACTTGCATCTGGAAATGTTCTTTCCTCATGTCTTCTATTGCGTGCAGGGCATCTGGTACAGAGTAGCTTGATGTCTCATGTTACAGAAAATTAGTACTCATAATTTTATATTAAAATAGTGTATCTTAATGTATATTCATCAGAGGATAAAGATTATGGATATGATGATTGCATCGATGTTTGTTGACTGTGAATGAGGACTTCAGTATGAAATGTAATCTTAATAAGCCATCCCAAATGCTTTTTGAATGACAATTTTCAAGGATGTCTTATTTTAACATGAAACTACTTGACTATTGTTAAAACCCTTCAGGATTTTTTTGGGTAGTCAGACCTGGGCGTGCTTGAATATACTAGTTCATAGCCTGTGGTGTGCTTTCTTGTCCTCCAATTTGATTCATATTTGCTAGTTGTTTAGAAAACAGGCCTGGTATTCTAATCATATTATGGTTGCCTCAAATGATTTTTTTTGCTCCCTTGGTATTTAAATCATCCTGATTCAAGGGAACTGGGCACGTTGATTTGAGGTTGTGGCAAGGTGGGGGTCGGTCTCTTCCCCTGGGCAGCTAGTGACAGGACGAGAGAACGTAGCCTCAGGCTGTACCAGGGGATGTTCAGATTGGACATCAGGAAGAATTTTGTCACAGAAAGGGTTGTTAAATATTGGAATGGACTTCCCAGGAAGGTGGTGGTTTCACTGTCCCTGGAAGTGTCCAAGAAATTACTGGACCTAGCACTTAGTGCCATGATCTAGTTGATAAGGTGTTGTTTGGTCAAAGGTTGGATTTGATGATTTTGGAAGTCTTTTCCAATTCAAATGATTCTGTGATTGTTTCTCACAAGCTGAGCAACTTTCCTTTATTTCCTGTGAAACGTGGTGAAGAATCTGGAGGGAGATTTCTAGATTAGCTTTAAAAAGAAAGGGGGAAAAAAGAGGTAAAAAGCTTCCAAATGATACTGCCTTAGTATGTGAATGATTCATGTAATTTTCCTGTAAAGGAGATGAGAAGGGATTCGCTTGTTTAGAATACACAGGAATTGAGGGCTTTAGTGTTAGAACCCAACCACATAGATGGTTAATGTAGTTTTATAGGAAACCTAAACTGACCTGTTTGCATTTACAAAATAGGGAAACTATCACTTGAATATTCTTGGAAGAGTTCTTAAGTGAATACGACTAATAATAGACTGCAAGCCCATATACACTTATATAAAAGTAGAACAATATAAATAGGACTTTTTTCATTGGTATTAGATCGATGTCTTGAAACCTGATGGAAAATATTAAAGTGGGATACAAAGAAAGTAAGCTTTGTTGTTCAGGAATTATGCTTGTTCAGATAGATTAAAATTAAGTATATAAATTATTAATATATGTTCCGATCTATTTTCTAAATATTTAATATTTTAATTAAAATAATTGGTACTCATTTACAGGAGACTGCTGATATAATTAGATTGATAGTGATTATTACTTTAGAATGCGATTGAATTAATGTTGACAGGTATGATAAGTCAATTAGTCCAACAGTCTTCTAAATCGTGGTAGCTGATGAGAATGCTTACCTAAGATAGGCAATATTAAGATAGTATTGATCACTTCATTCCAGGTTACAATAAGTAGAACATTCAGCTAAGTAATTTTAATAACCATTTGTTTCACATTTAAGCTAATTCCTCTTTTAATTTTGAAAATGACCATTTCATACTTGGCTTTTTTATAAAGCCTGACCTGTAGATGAGAAGGCCTGGACTATTTGAAGATGAGCAGAATCATTCTGCAGAGCTACGTGGCATCTTCTCATACCTAACAGATTGAGTAAATTGCCTTTGAAATGCTTTGGCCACTCTTGACTCTGAAAGCCTTTTTATAAGCTTTCAAATCTGAGACTGATTTGAGAGCTGGCATCTGCTGTTGTATACTCCGAAGAAAGATGACATTTCATTCCTCATAACAAATCTAGGCATTATATTGGTAAAATTAAGATAGAACAGTATCTCTCTGTCTGGGGAACCTGGTCACGTAGCCTCTCAAGAATGACTAATTTTTTTGAATCAGTATAATATTCAGTGCAATACAAATAATAGTCTTTCATCAAATTTGTTTTCACTTACCCAGGTCCCTTGCAGTACTTAGTTTGCTGGGATGATTGCGGAATGCTGCCGTGATGTTTCTCAGGACACAGTGTCCTGATGTATCTTTTTCTGCTTGTAAGTGGATACCCTTACAGAACTTTTTGCCTCTCAATTCTTTGGGCTAGTATGATCTTCCCTCCCCTTTATT